GTTTTCTGAAATTATATTATATTAACATGTTCTTCTATTTCACTAGATCTAGTAACATTAAGTAATGAAGACTTAATATATAATGATCAAAAAACACAAGGAATTCATTTGAATTAATGTGGGTACCTTTTGAGTGATAAGTCCTGTATTGTGCTGTCAAGATCGCTTGCCCAGTGTCTTTTCTCTTCATCATCTGTCCATTGAACATTTCGTAATTCTTTTGTTATTGTCTTTCCCATGGAAAAATATTTCATCTGTGGACATCCTATCACAATTGCTTCTTTCAAAGATGGGAACTCAAAGTCACACCTCATTGTGCAAAAGCTTGAAAGTTTGGGAAGACCGCGAAGTTGCAAAGACTTGAGTTGGCTAAAGACAATGCCATCCTTCACATTATCTTCCAAGCATTTGACAATTTCTTCCACCAAGTCACAATCAGTTATGCTCATTCTTTCCAGCTGTTCCAAGCTTTTGGCAGTTGAGTAACTCACTAAATTTTCAAGTCCATGACATTTTGATATTTCTAGAGTCTGCAGGTTCACAAAAGATACAACTGATGGCACTAAATTCACCAATTTGATACACTCAAGCACCTCTAGACTTCTCAAGTTGTAGAAAATCAATTTGAGGTCAGATTCTTGCTTCCAAAGATGCATTAACCCATTAATTCTCTTCATGTTGTCATTCTGTTGAAATTTTAGTTCTTCTAGACAGGAGAATGAATCCTGACAAATTGAAAAATACAATGTGCTATAAATTGAATAAAAAAAATACAAAATAGGAAAAGGGTATTGTATACAATACAAATCCTTTGTATAATGTGTTTTGCGATTAAGCTGCATAACCCAAAAGCATGCCATCTGTCCTATGTCAGAGATTTTTGAAATCTCATCAGTGTGTGTTTTTGGACCATTGTGCAGTTGGGGGTATGTTATGACTACCTCTGGCATGTGATTAAACATGTTATTTAAAGTGGCACTGTGATATGTCATATTGATATGAGATACTTTCATGTCTAAAAATGTTTCACATCTATCTATATTCTATTTATATTATGTCTTGACTATATTGAGACCTATTTATATGTGAGTTAACTAACCTATGCTTACTAACAAGCTGCATTTGCGCTATTTTTTGAAACCTCTGCCAAATTGATTAGCCTAAGCTCTAAACAAGTAAAAAAAAATGATTTCTATACTTCAAGAAAAGGTAGTTATATATCACTTGTCAAAACTTAAACCCAAGCCAACATTTACCTAATAGCAATACGCATTTACAAGAACCTTCCATTAGAGGAAAAAAAAAAAGAACTAATCAAAGTTTTTTACAAATATTATAATTTGATTGGTTTCATAAAATTAATAGGAAGATATTACATTATGTTAAAGTGTTTAAATGCTAAATTAAATAGTAGGAAACCACATTGCATTGCAATATACCAAACCCAACAAATATGTATTCAAGTTAAATAATATCAGGCGACTAAATTTTTCATATGAAAAATTTTAGTTCCCAAAAATTTCAATAGCAAATAAAAAAAATGAGAGAAAAGTCACTTTTAGATAAATTAAAAATAAAGCAAAATTTAGAAAAGATCAAAAGAGAAGAAGGTAAGCCTTGATTGATTTTATTTTGATTTAGTTTTCCTACTTTTTCCTTCTTGAATTTAAGGAAAAAATTATTCGTATAAGCTACATGCAATTATTTTTTCCCATTTGGTGGTCATACCTTGCCAATCCAAAACATAGGATCTTGGGTTTGCCTTTCAAGTTGGTTGTCTCCATCCGTTATTTCAATGCTTGGAAATTCTGAAGCAAATGTCTTCACCTTGTCACATTGTTCCACAATCATTCTTTTCAACAATGGCCATTTTGTGATGTGGATTTTAGGGAAGAAACCCTTGAAATTGGGTAGACGACTAAGTTTCAGGTATGTTACTCGAGGAAATACAAGCTGAGTGACTTCTCTTTCCACCAACTTTGATTGTGCGGCTGCAACCACTTGTGATCCACTACCACTGAGTCCTTGAGCTTCATATACTTCTCCAAAAGAATTGCAATTGGAGCAAAATCTTACGAGTTGTGGAAGGTAACGGAGCTCTAATCTGTCTAGTTTGGGAAACATTGTCTGGCTTGTCTTTTCTTTTTCTACCAATTCTTCTATCAATATTACCACTTGCATCTCCTTACACTCCTCAATCTTGAGTACTTCAAGTTGCTCAAAACTTTTAACCATTGATGATGTGAAGAGATATTTCAAATTATTACAGCACCACACTTTCAATTTCCTCAAGTTTTGAACAAATGAGGACATTAATGTAATTTGGCTGTGCCATATTTGCTGTACAGAAATGGAGCCCAGATACAAGTCATCCAAGAGAGGAATGTCAACCTGCAAATTAAGAAGGTCCAATTTCATTAAAACCATTATTTTTTAATCAAAGAAAACAGAGCAAGAGTGATGTTGAGAAGAAGTGGAAATTATAGTCTGCGAGTAATAATAATAATTAAAATTGTGTTAAATGTTAAATTTATGAAGAAAAAATTGACTGCATCATAGAATAAAGCTTGACATGATTTTGTAAGTGGAACAATAAATGGGGATCCACGTGGCAGAGGGACTTTGATTTAGACTGCCTCCCCTACATTTTTCTTTATGGCCAAACGAAGACTGCAGTACATTTTCCCTTTTTTTTTTTTTTGAAGAACATTTTCCTAAAATTTTAGTTTTACAAATATATTGTGAGATTATTTTTAAAATATACTCCTTTTATTTATTTTTAATAGACGTAATATAATTTTTTAATTTTTAA